TTTTTACATTACTTGCAGCAATCCAGACCACTCTAAGAGTTCTCTCAAGCTTTGACAATTACCTCGATATTAGTCAAGCTCCACTGATGATAACGCAGGATAATCTTTTACTCTTGGTTTCTTTTCCTAATACATCCGTAATTTTGACATTATTACCCTCAACCTTGGAAGGTATGAATTCGTGTGAAAACCATGGAGAAAAATAAGTCCTGAAGCAATTACTACGGGAATCCATTTCGACCTCAACTAAACAGTCCTCATTTAACTGTTGTTTACCCTCCATGTTTACCTTGTAAAAATATAATTATTGTGTGATTTCTTTCAATTTCACCTCAAGAATGTTGTGGCAAAGCTGGTTTAGCGTAAATGTATAAATTATTGTACAACAGCGATAGATTTTGTTAAGAAAGTAATCAGTTTTAACGTAGGGAAATCAGCAGAAATCGCGCCGTCTCGATCTCTTTTTCTGAGTGGCAAGTTTCGACCGGAAATTTGTCTTTTGTTATGATCGAAACATTTCCCGTGAACTGTTGCACAAATATTAAATTTCCAATCAAAAGAATTATTCATCATAACAACTTCTACGTGAAGCAGGCAGTGTAGCCTACAATTACTGTAAACAAAGAATCGTCCTTCTATACCGTATAGAACATGAAATTCTTTTAAGATTTTCGTTATGTATACTGATACAAATTAAAGCAAAGGAAACTTTACTAAATTTGTCATAAGTTGTGTGAGAGAGGATAATTTACAGTGCAATCTTACCTTTTTGCGGCTTTGGGTTTTCAGGGTCTATCTTGCCTCAGGGTGGGCGTGATAGCTTTTTGAATCCTCGGGCGTTGAATTGTTTCGAAAAAGAAGTGGAATTGAACGGCATAGTGTGCCAATACCAGACTAAGGAAATGTAGTCATGGAATATTAATAGGCTACAGGTTTTTTTCCGTTTCATGGTAAAAAAAAATTAATATAGGAGTTTCTGGCCAACTTTCTGGCACCAAAAATGACAAACGCAATATTTAATTTTTTTTTTCAAGAAAGGGTAAAATGACCCCTAAGAAGAAGTTGTAGTTTTGCCATGATTCTAAGAGAAAAGGAGAGAGAAGAATCATTTGATGACGAGAACGAAATTTTTTCAAACAAAAAAATCCTACGGAAATGCTCGAACTGAAACGAAATAGACGACTTTCCTTGTGAAAAGGACATTCAAAAATTTTTTACCGAAGGAATTTTCTGGTTAAGAACTACTTAAAGATAATATTGCAATTTATTTCAATCTAAGATACAATTTTTTGTTGCTGCTTAGATCCCTGCTCCAAATCTGGGCTTTTAAGTTGGTCAGTTTTGTTCTTTTAACAAAGTCGGCAAATGCAGCTCTCTAATGATTTTCTCTTCTCCTACCGATCATTGATATTAATCCAAAGATGTCCAGAAGTAAAACTGAAACCAAAAGGCGCAAACCGAACTTTACTAGATCATGAATTGTTTGCTCTTTCCAAAGAAATAATATCAAAGATATCTGCGTCCACGATAATTGGATTCAACGAATGACTAAAGCCGAGGGGCGCACTTGAATTTTTACTTTAGCTTATTTGGCACAGTTGTGTAAAGTTATTTTCTTCAGAAATTGTGTACACTAATGATGACTATCGATCGATGAAAACGCGACATTTACGAAAATTATTGTAAGAGATGTAATTTAATGAAGTTTTTACATACCACACGTTCTGAATAAGAGAAACACAAAAGGAATAACGCATAATTCAACCTTTATGCCATTTCAAAATTGGCTTAAAACAATAATTAAACGAAAAACAAGTACTCAAGTGACGGTATTATTTCAGTTGAAGACTAAATATTCAAGCCAGAACGCTATAAAGTTGACAGGGAACTTGAGTTCTACATGAGTGATCTCAAAAGCCGTTGCAAAAGGATTGTTCCAAGGGTCCTGGAAAGAAACAAGTTAAGAAAAGGGAGATGATAAACTCTATATCTCCATAACTCTATCATGCCAAAGACGCAAACTCTGTGGTCTCCTCGACCTTGCTTCCTGAGCAGTCGGAGAAGCACATCATTTCTTTAGTCTTCTCTCTGAACTGACTGTTTAACAATGCATACACAAACGGATTGACAGCAGAGTTGCACAACACCATTATGAAAGAAACGGAGACTACGACAGGGCTAATGTTGTAGGATGTAAATTTCCTTAAAACGTAAATAACTGACATGAATCCATAGCAGATCCCAAAAATGGCAGTGACAGACATGACCATTAAAGTGACACGTTTCCGCACTCGGATAACACCCTGAGAAAAGAAAAGAAATTAAAAAATTCTGTTTAGGATTGATCTGAACAGTAACAAGTTATTATCCATTTCGATCACGATAAGAGGAAAAGAAAAGAAGAACACTTGATAAAATTATTTTTATCAGTGAGTTGTTCCATTACTTTTCACAGCGATCCTCGAAACGAGTAACCCAATAAAGTAATTATCGATTACCATACTTAGCCTTCACCCACTTTAACAACGATTCTCTATTTATCAATTTGCATAATCTTATCTACCCAATAGAACTCGAAGAATCTGCCCTCTTGCACGGAAGCCATATTTCTGAAACATTGGCTTTCTCACATGCTTCATTAATCTCCCTGTTTAAGTTGACGTTTGTGTTTGTTAGTTGTCGTTAACCCTCGGAGAAGATGAAGAAACTAGCATGAATTCTGTAGCTCAAACTGCCACCAGTTCTTGTGCTTCTTTAATTGCTCTATTAGAAGCAATTTAGGGAATGACAATCAGAATTATCCTAATCTACTCTTGAATATCCCACGATATTCTTCCCGCTAGAAAATTATCTTACAGACTCATGGAATAAAGTAAAATTAATCAATAGAAAAGAAATGGTATTATAGGTTGAAATGAGTCAAGGGGAAAGATCTGGAAACATATATTTTTACTCCCACCCGCTGTTCACGAGAAAGGTGAATGCTGTGGTGCTTAAACCATAAAGTTCTTGCAACACGGGAGTATAACCCGGCCATGACAATCAGAGGAAGGACAACCACAAGCAACCAAGCCACACTGTAAGCCTTTGACATCCACTTCTGTGGCCAATTCCATACGCAGAACTGCTTTTTGTCGTCGAAGGTTGCAGTGAGAAACATGGGAATACTGAATGCAACTGAGAAGATCCAAGAAACCAGGACGATCACCTGAAACTATATTTGAGCACGATTAAGATCATCTCTGTGAGAAGACGTAGTTAACCAAATTAAATTAACCGTTAAATACCATGAAAACATAAATACATTAATTTTCGTTTTGATCATTGATTTCTAAACCAGTTTTAGTTAGAGGAAGTTTCCTTGGTGAAGATTTTGTAATTAAAATTGGCGATTAAAAAGGAACGAAGTTTCGATTTCTTGGAGGTCATTTTCAAGTTATTGTAGAATATTCAAAAATGAACGTATAAATATAATATTCTAAAACAAGTATTTTGTTATTCTAACTAATGACTTTAGCAAAGCTGTAGGAACGTGTACGCGGTTCATTCTATTTTTATTGATAAGTTTGCAATAAAATTAACCTTTACGCACCTTGAACTTAAGCTTAGTAAAATTTCTCCTGTTACTAAAGGGATGCATCACAGCGTAATACCGCTCAATAGCAATTGCAACCAGACTGAAAATGGAGGAAACCGCTCCAATCCACGCAACATTGCCGCCTGTCACAAATTTGCACAGACCTGTAGCAGTCATGCCTTCTGGGTGGAAGGAAGTAATTAGTCTGAGAAGAACCGCGGGGGCAATAAATATGGCGAATATTATGTCTCCAACTGCCAAGTTCACGAGTAGATAATTTACGATATTTCTGTAGAAATGATAATAGAAAATACAGTTAATAGCGTGTACGGTACCTTTTGTAATTTTGCGAATTTTTAAATAATAGTATTTCCGTTCGCCCCGGAATGAACTTGATATCTATCTATGGCTAGCGATTAATTGCGTTTTTTTTTTGTCACTTAAACAACAAACTTATGTCCCACCCTTGGCGAGTGGCTGTTTATCAAATGAAAAATTATCGCAAAATGTCACTAACATCATAAATTGGTATTCATAACAACCTCATGTCTCGGTTTCTCTTTATGATCAAGCAGACAATATAATTTCCCGCGACGTCTACGATAATTAGTGTGAAGAGTACTGTGCTTATGGCAATGTTAGCTGATTCACTCATGCCTCCCGGAGACCTGGTTTAAAAAAAATAAGACATAATTCAATAAAATGACATTAAGCAATGAAAATGCGAAAAGATTTTAACAAAACATAAGCGTATGGTACATGCGTAACATAAAAACGAATAAACATCCCCACAACCTCTTAGTGCGATTTAATTTAAGCCAGAAGTACCTTTAGAACTCTCTCATATGAAACGATGGAGTTGCTGCGATAAACGTAGATACGTGAGCATTGTCGATAAAACTTTATAGAATAAATGTCAAACACGTATCACTAAACCGAACCAGGGGAAAGTCGGAGCATGGTTATTCAATAATTAAAATCCATGAGAATCTAACATAATATGACGAAAAAAAGTAAACCATAGGTTCTAATTAACACATGCGAAGGTGTCGATTTTAGACGCGTACGGGCACGTAACACTGAATAGAATCACGTTTGCCACGGTAGCGAACTTTAGACTTTGTAAACCTTAAGCTGATCTCGATGACTTACATTATAATCTGCATGAAGATCTCACAGAAATATGGAAAAATACATCACATCTACAACAGCGGCTAATATATTTTCGCTTGAAAGTCAAACAGCAAACGTTCAGTTTATATTATTGTGCGTCACTTATGTAAACGAGGATGCCAATGTCCCTCAATTTTACAATACAGCGATTTTATCTTCACCAGGCAAGGGCATTGTCATTTAAGTATCCTTACCTCAGGTTTTCTAATGTTTTTCAGCAAAAGCAGAGAGTTTCCTCAACTCCTACGATTAAACGACGCATTCAGACTAGTTTGCAGGTCTCAGTCTATCTTCAGAAAGAGGTTACAACACCTTATTAACACTGATTCAGCAGGGGAATACGATTTGAAACATATGAGGTAGACAGTCGTCTTCTTTCCTCTGTACTAGCAAAGTTATACACGACTAAACCGAATTAACTTTTTGAATTTTGTCTTCGCCTCAGGATGAGTAGGAGGGTTCTAGAAATAATAAGAAACTATTTTTTGTAATCGGATATCAACACATTTGTGACAACTAATTTCCGATTTAACAATGCTAGTTGTGCGTGCTCTGGGATTTTTTTTTTTTTTTATCTTTTTTTGTTAGTAACTCAGTGCTTTGTAAAATGATTAGAATCGTCTGATTTGATTAGAAATCGCTCAGAAGCAAATTATTACTGATCTATACAATCTCTTTTCCAATTTGTTTTTGGCTTTCCATGTTAGGACAGGTGTTTGAATTTATAAATACCGCAATTGACATGTTCCTTCACGAGGTTTCAGGTCCTTCGTCACAAATTTCTGATTCTAATCATTTCAAACAAAAATTGTTTTCAAAAGCATATGATGCCGATTTTTTTCTTTTTCTTCCCTTTCAAAATGGCAAGAAATTTCCATGGATAGATTTGTAATATTAACCTTCATTAATTTTCTTCGCAGGCAATCTAGTTTGAGTTGTCAGTGCAGTTTAATTGATATATTTACGTTTTGAAATGACACATGAACCGAACCTAATTATATCGGCGATGTGCTATAAAAATGTTCAGTTGCAACCGCAAATTGCGCTTTGAGACGACAATAACCGACGAAGACGGTAGATAGTTATAAAAGTATAAATATGATGAACAATTAGACTGCACAAGGATATCCTCAAGTTGGCAATAATGGAAATGTATTTATTTTCTCTTTGCTTTTCTTTTCGTTTTTTTTTTCCTTTGCATGACATAGGTATCATGATACACTGATGGATTGACTGCTAATAAATTCCAAGGCACCAAAAACAGATATAATTTTAGCCATGCATGCCGTACTGGTGAGGCATCATGAGGCGGAAACAAATATCTATGGCTGCAACATGTACATTATTGGTGGCATTAAAAAATTTAACAGAGTACCTGTCACTCCCTTCCTCTCTCTCCTATCTAAACACTGAAGTTGACGAGGTCTCCACGCTGTTATCACTATTGTACGCGACCTTTTGGTTTGTTTTTTTTTTCTCGGCCTATCCTTTTTCTTTTCTCTCGTTTTCGGGAAGGAAATGTAATAAAAAAAATTTGCATTGACGAGAAGAAACTTGACAGTCATGAACAGAATTTGCTCAGTTTTCGTGGTGTATGTTGCCTAAAAAAAAAAACACCTGCCAAGGGATTACTCAAAAACACTTCAAGTCGTGACGTTTTCACTTTACTTGATGGTTCTCAAGAAGTTTTAGCATCAAGTACAGCGTGTGCACCTGCCAAGGAAAACTTACTAATTTCAATAAATCGTTATTCTTTTGCAGTATATTATAGTGGACTTCATTTTAACAGAGATCGTGCGTGACATTGATGGACTGATAGCCATTTGACCCTTGACATTATAGGTATAGGAAATCGCATGAGCGAAAGTACATTATATCTCTTCTTGCAATATAAATTACTACAGTGGACTTTATTTAACAAGGATCGTACGTGACAGGGATAGACCTGATGGCTCTGTGGCCCTCGATAAAATTATAGGAAATCGCATGAACGAAGGTGTATTCGAACTCTTCTTGCAATATATTACAGTGGATCATTTTAACAGGGATCGCGCGTGACAGTGATAGACCTGATAGCTTCGTGGCTCTTAATATAAGTATAGTAAATCGCATGAGCAAAGGTGCATTCTAACTCTTCTTGCAATACATTACAATGGATCATTTTAACAGGGGTCGTGCGTGACAGTGATAGACCTGATAGCTTCGTGGCCCTGAATATAAGTATAGGAAATTACATGAACGAAGGTGCATTATAACTCTGATCGCCGTATATTACAGTGGACTTCATTTTAACAGGAATCGTACGTTAAAGTGTTAGAACTGATAGCTCTGTGGCCCTTAAAACAAGTAATGAACAAAGGTGCATAATAACTCTTCTTGCCACTTCATTTTAACAGGGATCGTACATGACAGTGATGGAGATGATAGCTCTGTGGCCCTTAATATAAGTACAGGAAATCGCATGAACGAAGGCGCATTCTACCTCCTAGTGTCCTTTGATTCATACAACACCTCAGTCATGTTTCTCAAAGTCTTTGATGGTTCAGTTTTTGGAAGTTCGTTCCTCCCCCGTCGGCGAGGTTCTTGCACAAAGAGTAACGTAAAACTATCTTTTTTTTTTCTTAAAAACGACTTCGAAGCTTCATCCGAAATAAATAAGTTCTAGTGAGTTCCAAAAATATCAAATCACTTATACGTTCTACGTGTAAGGAAACTATACAATTTATTTCGGAACACAAAGTTTCAACGACATCGCAACAACGCTTCAGTCAAACACGTGTAGTACTTGAACCGCTCCATTTCACTTAAAAGTGAGTACAGGATCAACTACATATATATGTATAGAGATATAAATGAAGAAGAAACAATGAATCACAATCTGATTTCTGAGTGAAAATAAGTTTACACATGCAAGCTCTGGTGAGGTATTTTAAAAATTTCTGAAGTAGTTTAGCAAAGTATTCTTCAAAAATAGTCTAGGTATGCACGTTTTACGAAATATTTTTCAAAGTACACCCTTGCAGTATCTATTCTCTTATCATGATGAGTTAGTTGAGATTAAAACACTTTAATAAGATTCATGTCCTCTGTTGTCTTAACGCTTTGAAGTTTTCTCCCGCTATAGTGTGGTGTCGGGTTAGTCACACTGTTTGTCCCGCCTAGTTTCTGGGGCTCTGTTTCAGCGTAAATCCTGTTATTTGGGCGGCAGGGGAAAGAGATAGTACCTTTGATCTTCTCCCTAAATCTCTGGTTGACCGGAGCGTATACAAGGGGATTGATGACAGAATAAAGCATTATCATTATAGACGCTGCGGCATATGTTACATCGCCTAAGGAGTGACTGGGAGTCAAAGAAGACGATCGAGTCTGTAAGCCAATAGACTCCGAAAATAATACTGACAAGGATCGCCATCAAAGCGCTCGTTTGGGAACTTTCGTCACTCCCTAAATACAGAGATCAGTCAAATTCAGTCCTAGTAGTATTTGCAGAGTGTTCGCAAAGGGATTATAGGACAAATACTCTCCATTTTGGTTATTGATGGACTCAAACGCTAAGGAATTATGTAAAATCTACCTTAATAAGTCATATTGGTGCTTACTTTGGATCATAGCTAGGAATATATTTACGCTTTAGATGTTAATTATGCATTGTGGAAGTGAGTGGAGGGAAGTGAGTAGAGTTTGTAAGCAGAGGGCAACCTTGAGTTTCTTTAATTCATTTCATTTTAGGCAAATTAAAAAAGCAAGCAGATAAATGACAGATTTTAATAAAATGGAGGTTCCCCTTCAATATAATTCTCTTTAAAGAATTTTGATACATTTAACCAACCTGTTGCCAGTTGGTGTGATCGATAGGCGTTTGATCCACAATCTGTACACCACTCTGTCTGGAGGATAGTATAATCATTACTGGCGCTGGGAAAACTCCAAGAGCAAACCACCAAGTTATAGCATAAGTATAATTATAGGCTGGATGATAAGTAGCTGAAGTCTTCACCTCAGCAACACGAGGATCTAAGCTCTTCCAATTTTGAAGCACTTACCTTGGAATATACTTCAACGATATGAGCTACGGTCTGTGTTGTTCCATCACGCGCCATGGTAACATGTACAAATAATGACAGTTCATTGGGATACGTATGTATCCTACCGTAGATTAGCTTTTTGCGCCTGAATTATTTATATGTCAAAAGATTTCGAATTTCATAAAAAAGGAAACCAATAGATACAGACCAATAAATTACTTTTGCTACATGATTACTCACACGATCAAAGTTTGCTTTATGACTTCAAGTTCGACTTGGACGTGTGTCAAAGAAAACAATTGTCAATTGTCGAACTGTCAATTCTAAATAAACCGAAGGACCTTAGCGTATTTTTTTGGTGAATCGCACTCTCGTTGAAGGGATTCTTGTACTTCCAAATTCAGTAGTCGTTTGTAGTCATTTCACAAGTATGCCTTCGTTCTTTACATTCAGGCTACTCTTACTTTACTCCCGCCGCAGTTTCTAACTCAGTATTCTCAATTCTCAGTATTCTCCCAACCAATTTTACATGAATGCGTTGTAAAGCAAAATTGTTTTTACTTTGTTGTTTTTTTATCCGGTTTTATGATCGTTTTGATTATTTGATATGTTTGGTTTACCTTGAGAATCTATAACGACCTTAGCCGAGTAAAAACGTGCTTGAAGAGACTTCAAGATAACATCGTTTTTGAAACAA